CATATATATATATTATACTGTATATCCTCTGAGCCTAAGACAAGCTCAGAATGTGAACAGTCACATGATAAGTCGTCTGGTTTTCATGTTGTATAAGTTGGCAGGGTTGTAAAAGTCCAACAATAATTTACAGCAGCACAAAAGCAAAAAGGAGACCTGCAATGCCACGTGGTCAAAAAATAAGGCAATAATATACAGAAAGACAAAGTTTGGCCTACTTTCTGTTCCTACCTGTGTAATGATGTACTGGATGTGCTCGTAAACATCTGCCTGTTTGTACAAAGCGTACGTCTCCGTGCCYCCGTCAGCAACGTCTTTCAAGAAGAGGTGCTGGAATGTCATCAGGGTTTCTTCTTTGAAAGTAACAACCATCTGGTTGCTCAGTCCAAAAGACACCAGCTATAATAATAATCAAAAAAATAAAAAAAGAGGAAGCAGAATGTGAGCAGTGAGCAGGATTATTCTGTCTGAGTTTGACGTTAAGTCTACACACCTGTATGGTAATAATGGCAATTTTAATTATCTGCAGTATGAGTTTCCAGGGTTTTCGCCCCCTGGCGTGGTACTTCTCACACGGGTTCATGAAGTAGTACTTGATCCTCCTTCTGAGGCGGTCCACTTCCAGCAGGTCCTCCAGGTTCTGGGGCTGGTGGTCCTCACAGGGGTTGTTTATGTTAAAAGCATCATCATACACATCACTGGACTCCTCCATCTGAGATCACTGCAAAAATATGTTTATTTAGAAGGAAACAAATGGAAGTTCACAACATGTGACAGAAAAGCTTATAGCATGATAGYCACTTAATTAAAACGGATTAATTGCAGGTTAATAACCACAAAAAGGAGAAGCCATGTTGGTTATTTAGACTGACCAGTTTTCAGGTTTGGTTGTTTTATTTTGGCCAGAGAATAAGGAAATAAATGAACCAAGACTCGCTGCAATAAAAGAGTAAATTTTCACTAAAAGACAGAGGTGGTTAAAATGAACTGAAGCTGCTAACTAACAACACACAGTTCAGAAACCAGAAACATGGATCAAATACGTAAAAATGTTACCGAGGACCCGCACTGGCCCAGGTCGGTCCACTTCCACAGCACCGGTTAGAACACGAGCTCCGACTCAAAAAGGCTTCGTTTCGATACAAATTACCACACAAAAAAACCACTTTTACCCCCAAGAGACATGAATTAACAGACCGGAGGCGACAGAAACTTCAGAAACACTTGCCTCGTTACGTCACGGAATCCCTGAAATATGATTGGCTTACCCACACGTCCGTCAAGTAGTCCGTTCACGGTTCCGCCTCTATTGTAACTAATAGAAACCAAACATGGTCGCGGAGCAGTGGTAAGTCGGAGGTTTGATGATGATAACTGATAAATTACGCATATTTGCTTTAATTTTAGCGTTTAAATAAGTGACGTTTATTGTGAACTTATTTATACCCTTAGCAAAAMGTAGTTTACTTGAAGTTCATTTTAATACTTGAGTWTAAGTTTATCAAGTATGCTAGGCACCATGTACTTGTAGTGTACTAGAAAGTATTCTGATTTAATACTTGTTCGTACTAAATTGGGACTTTTTTGTTAATAAAAAGTATACTTTAAGTACTGTTACGATGTCTTTTGTTGGTTTATAAACTTACAAAATTACTTACAAAAGTAAGTACACTTTAAGTACATGTCATTAAGTATACTAAAGTATATTTCCCTAAGTGTACTTTTATTTACAATTGTTTACCATTATTTATAAGTATAAGTATACTAGTACTTTACTAACAAGTATACTTCTAGGACAAAATTGGCCCACATTTACCTTATGAAAGCATACTTAGAAGTATACTGAAAGTAATCTAAGTATACTTTTAGTTTGATCTTGAAATATACAACAAATAAACCAGTCTGTGTGGAAAATGTACTTTCAGTGTACTGCTAAAGTTTCTTTTGGCCAAAAGTTTAAACATCAGTATAGACTAGAGCATGTAAACTTTTAGTATACTTTCAGTATAGTGTAAGATAAACTTGGTTAAGTATATCTCAGATAAGTACATAAAACGTAAAATGGAAATGTACTCTTTTATTTTTAGTTTAAAATTAGTATATTCAATGGATACGGGCGTATACTACTTTTTGCTGAGGGTATCAGTCTGATTATTTTTAAATTATTTTGAGGCGCAAATCATAATTTCCAACGGCAGTGGAAAAGCAACAGGACTGAGTGAGCTAAGACATTTACAAACAGCACAACCCATTTACTGAATAACCTTTTTTATTCAGTACTTTGTATTTTAACAGGAGCGTAAGTTTAGACAGAATCAAACTGCTCATATTTGATTTCTAGCACTGTGAAAAGTGAGCTCGAAATGCAGCTCAAAACCTCACATTTTCACCCATTTTGTTCACTAAACAATAGTCCATGGACAACAAAATTGTTTCTTTTTCACTCATTTACTGTACAAAATAAAAAAGTATCTGTAAAGTTTGTTTGTTTGTTTGTTTGTTTGTTTGTTTGTTTGTTTGTTTGTTTGTTTGTTTGTTTGTTTTTACTGCATGCCCAAAAATGCTTCAACAACATTGCAGTTTTTGTTTTCTCCACTAGATGTCGCCACATGCACTGATAATGCACTTGAATCATCTTTGCTGCCACTGTGACTGAGTTTAGCCAGGTGAAAATTGAAATATTAATATGGACAAGATAAACTAGTTGTCTTATTATTATTATTAGTAGTAATATTAGTATTAGTATTAGTATTAGTATTGTCATAACTATAATTGTTTTTGACTGTAGAGTCTGTAAATCCAAAGAACAAGGATGGCACCCAAGGAAAGGAATCGCTCAAGCAGTGGAAAGGGGAGCAGTAAAAGTGAATATCTGATTATTTATACACCTAATGTGTTAAATTYATGCATTTTTGTATCAGAACAATTAATTGACTTTTCTTTACTTTCAGGTAGGAAGAAGAGTCACTCTGCTGCCTCTCAAGAAAGGGCTGGTAAGTGATTTTTTAGTTTTGTTTTTTTTTTTTTCAGATTTGCGTTACTTCTTTCTGTAATTTTAGCCTGTTTATAATATGGTAAAGGGGGAACAAATTAATTGTGTTTTTTTTTCTTTTAAAGAAAGTACATACCATTCCTTGGCTAATCCGTGAATTGGTGTGTGGAGTTTTTTTTATTTTTTATTTTTTTATCCTGCATAGATTTTCTGCAGCTATACATATTTTCCCAACAGGACAAACTCCCTCCTGTTTGTTGACACATCAGATTTAGTAGCCCTGAGCATAAATAGAAAGAATCAGAAAGTTTCAAAAATAGTACTTTATTTTGAGTACAGTAAATATTGCAATTCTTTTAGGATAYTTAATTATCATTAGATTTAAAATTTGTTGGACTTGATCACTTTTTATTTGACGGTTTGAAAGATTCCTTGTAATTTCTTTGGGGCGTTTATTGCTAAAGGCCACTATTTATAATATGGTGTCCTTTGGCTCAAATGTAAATAAAAATGTCAAATAAACTGATAAATATATTCAGATTTATTACAAACAGACAGAAGCCAGTTTTGCCAGAGTAATGATGTACTTTGACTCAATCAAAGCATTTTTAGTGTGTTTTTAACCTCGAGGGAATTAAAATAAGATAACAGTTCATTTGTCACACATGGAGTAATAATCAGTGATGTGTGTTGTTCCTGCATCTAAACATTATTACAGAATAAAAGGAACAATTAAAAGCCTGACAAATCCAAAATAACTTTTCGGAGAACCCAACAAAAACAATAATTGCATTCTTTGTGGGGATTGAAACATCAGACTCCATGCACTCTGTCTCCTAAAACAAACGTTTCCCATGAATACAAATTCCATCGTTGACACATATCGTTGTGAAATGAAGGGTGTGAGTTTCCACTACAATGATTTGGCAGGAGGCCCAAGTGGTGTGAGTGGAAAAAAGGTTTGACACACCCAGTCGGGAAGTGGTTACTTAAGCTTCGCTCCAGCATTCCCAGCGTCCTCTCAGCAACCTTGTGGAAAGACTTTGAAGAGAGAAAACCGCAAGCAGGAGGAAAACTATTATTATGCAGAGCCTTGTTTACACTGTTGTGTGTCCCTGGTCTAAGCCTTGCTAAGATGTGGAGGGTATGGATTATACAAATATACCATAAGTGTGAAAGAAAGAAAAAAATCACTGGTGTTGGATTTCAGTGTGATATGGCAGATGAAGGACTGGGCTTATTTGGTCAGAAAAACAGAGAACATCAAGCTTGTTGGTATCTGTCAGTTCACTTTCTTCCAGTGTTGTACAAAGCAGTGGTTCCCAAACTTTTTATCTTATGACCCAAAAAATATCCATGGCAAAAACTTGTGACCCCAAATATTACTGGTCTGAGTACATGAACTTCGTTAATAACCCTAAAAACACAGGCTTTTTAGCTTGTACACAAATATAAATAC